GTCTAAATGTGATCTAAGTTAATTGTAAAATCATAGCAATCACATTAGCATGCATATTGAGTGCAAAATATATCCAGCAGATGGTTAGACTAACTAAGTAATAGAAATACATGGTATAAGAAGAGCAGTGCTTGAGGAAACCTCTTATTTGCATATCCAAAACAATGGTTCCTTTACCGGCTATTTTCGGCTGAAAATTGTTTGGAAACAGATAGGAAGCAAATCAAAGTCTTATCTCCAGTTTTAGGGGTTTAGAAACCAAAAGGAAGAAGCTGAGAAAATATTTAAGTTGGGAAAACATGTCCTAATTTCCTTCTAGATATAGTGGTTCATAGAAGAACAAATGACTTGCCTGTGGAAATTTTGCAGAGCATATAGCATAATCAGCTAGTTTTAGAAGATCATCCAGCCCTTCTCTTATCCGTTCACCTTCAACTAATATAGGTACATTCTTGCGAGCAGCCTGTGAGAATCCAATTATGCTGATTTACTCTCTTTAGTTAATAACTAATTTTCTTGGAAAACTACGTAAAGATACACTTAACAGCAAGAAGTTTAACACGATAAACTGGAAGATAGCAGTTACCTCCTGTGCAACAAGTAAAGCAGTTTCATGTATTCGTCCATCTAAATAAAGCATTCTTGCTCCATCCAATGCAGATGATAAACTTGTTTGGGAAAGATTGCTTGGTATCATGGGAGGATATCCTGGAGTATGAATACAAGTGCGAGTTTTCCTGGAATGTCACTAACAGTTTATAAAAATTGAAACACAAAGATTGGGGAAAAAGTTATTCCACCGCCCTCTATCACTAGCTAAGGCCATATGCATTAGATCAGATTCAGAATGTAGGAATAAGAAAATATTATGGGTTAAACAATAAAGTCAGCTAATACAAGGTCGTGTATGCTTGTGCGCGCTTGTGGGTGGGGGAGAGAGAGAGAGAGACAGAGAGAGTATAACACATAAAAGCAAAGTTCCTCACGTTTCATTGTCAACAATAATGTAGGTAAATGGTGAATTACCCTCCTCGGAAACCTGGAAAAATGAGTCCAAAAATGATAGCAATATTCAGATTACAGAGCAGTCAACTCCTATTCTTAAAGATTACAAACGGCTTTCCCTCTGAAGCTTACCACAACAGAAGAAGTATCTACGCCGTCGGCTTGTAGCTCCTCCAGTATGCCCCTGCCTTGTGTATCATTTGCAACCTATCATTTCAAAATGCATAAAACAAGCTACCAAAATCAAACAACCAAGTTTCCTTCCGGGGAAAGAAAATTCAAAATAAAAGGGTTAAAATTAAAGACCTTGGAAATCAGTCTCGGACTTAAGCCCAAACGAGCTGCACAAGTTAAAGCATTACCCGCGTTTCCACCTCCTTGAACCTAAGAAACCAATCAAAACTAATTATCAAAGCTAATCAACAGCATCATTTATGTGTTAACAACAATTTATCAACAATAAAAATAAAGAACAAATCTTTCATTTGCAAAAGATGCACACAAACAACCGAGTTACTGAGTGAACTCACGTTCGAGTAACAATGGCGTAAATTTAATTGGATAAATTAAGTTTACCATTAAGCTGGTGGTTCTGATTTTGTCGTCCGGATTAGGGTAAGAGGCCACGGCGCCCAAGAAATCGACGCCCGCCCCGCCGACGCCGAGCTGACATAATTGTATAAAAGCATAGTTAGCAAGTAATTATACACAAGTTAAAGCATTACCCGCGTTTCCACCTCCTTGAACCTAAGAAACCAATCAAAACTAATTATCAAAGCTAACCCACAGCATCATTTATGTGTTAACAACAATTTATCAACAATAAAAATAAAGAACAAATCTTTCATTTGCAAAAACTGCACACAAACAACCGAGTTACTGAGTGAACTCACGTTCGAGTAACAATGGCGTAAATTTAATTGGATAAATTAAGTTTACCTTTAAGCTGGTGGTTCTAATTTTGTCGTCCGGATCAGGGTAAGAGGCCACGGTGGCCAAGAAATCGACGCCCACCGTGCCGACGGCGAGCTGCCATAATTGTATAAAAGTATAATTAGCAAGTAATTATGAGCATAATTGTACGGATTATAATGAGAAGAATGTAATTGATATAGATGAACCTACGACGATTCGGTTTTCGGGGAGAGGGGGAAGAGAATCGTGCGACATTCTGAACCTGAAACTAACTTGGTTGTTAGAATTTGAAATGAATGGTTGAAAGATGTATGATTTTGTTTTGTTAATGGAAAAATTGAAAGGAGAAGATTCGGTGGATGGTGCCTTTGGCTTTATCATAGATATCTGGTCACTGCTACGAGGGAAATTTTTTGATGAAATTTTAAGTCATTGTCTTTTAATTGCAATTTGCAATAACCACTAATAATTTTAAACATCTAGTAGCACTCAGTCTTTACTTTGTTAAAGGAAGTTACCGATAATAAGTTTAAGTAGGTCGCCAACAATGAGCACTCAGTTTTTACTTTGTTGAAGGAGGTTACCGATAATAAGTTTAAGGAGATCGCCAACAATGAGTTTAGGGATTTAGTATGTGGCACTCAATCTCTACTTTGTTGGAGAAAATCTGGTGTTTAAATCTCAAGTACGACCATTATTGATAAAAAGAATTGTAAACTAGTAGAACTGTGTTCGAATTTTATAGATAGACAATTAAAGACTAGTTCATCAAGTACGACAATTTCATAAATGAGTTGATAAACAGTAATTAATAATTTTAAATTAATTTGTGGACTTTTTAAAAAAAAATTATACAAAATTAGTTTGTTTAGTTTAATATTTGTAATTAAGTTGTATCTTAACCTTATTTAATTGAATTAATTAGTGATTATGTTTTAATTATTATTTTATTTATTAATAATAAATAAATTATCATTTTAAATATAGAAAAATTCGAATATTTAAATAGTTTAGCCGATCGGCTATACTTTTCAAATATAATAAATTAGAATATTTAAATAGTATAGCCGGGCGACTATACTCCTTAAATAAAATAAATTTGAATATTTAACTGGTATAGCCGTGCGACTATAGTTTTCAAATATAATAAATTTGAATATTTAAAGGCTATACTTTTCAAATATAATAAATTCGAATCTTTAAATAGTATAGCCATTCCGCGTTAAGCTTCAAATATAATAAATTCGAATCTTTAAATAGTATACCCATTCCGCGTTAAGCTTCAAATATAATAGGATTATTCGTAACAATGGTCCATCAATTATACCCAAAGTTACACTTTGGTCACTCAACTCAAATATTAGTTGCAGAGGTCACTCAATTAGGTGTTGTGTTGCACCGTTACTCCTACCGTCAAGTCTCTCTAACAGTAGGGACTAATGGTGCAACACAACACCTAATTGAGTGACCAAAATGTAACTTCGAGTATAGTTGAGGGATCATTGCTACAAATAATCTTAACTGAAAAGTCACATTTGCCCATCAATAATCTAAGAGATGCTTGCCACGTCATCCTTTTAAACAGAAAAAGTGACAGACTTGACGGTAGGACTACCGGTGCAACAAAACACATAATTGAGTGACCTCTGCAACTAATATTTGAGTTGAGTGACCAAAGTGTAACTTATAGTTTAGCCGATCGGCTATACTTTTCAAATATAATAAATCCGAATATTTAAATAGTATAGCCGGGCGACTATACTCCTTAAATAAAATAAATTTGAATATTTAACTGGTATAGCCGGGCGGCTATAGTTTTCAAATATAATAAATTTGAATATTTAAAGCGTATAGCCGTTCGGCTATACTGTTCAAATATAATAAATTCGAATCTTTAAATAGTATAGCCATTCCGCGTTAAGCTTCAAATATAATAAATTCGAAGGGTTATTCGCAGCAATGGTCCCTCAACTATACCCGTAGTTACACTTTGGTCCATCAATTCAATTATTAGTTGCGGGGGAACCCAACTTTTTGACAAGGGAGATATCCCTATCCACCATCTTGTCCACCGGGTCAATCAACTGCAAATTAAAATTCATCAAAATCAAAATCCTAATTATAATTATAAAGTTTTAATTTTTATTCAAAATATTTAAAGGATAGCTAACCAGAGCGGGTTTGTCGGGGTGACAGACATCGGCGAGCAAGTAAGTGTACGTGGAGGACTCCTTCTCGAAGAGCTGGCGGAAGAGGAGCTTCGTAGAGGAGGCGGAGTCAGACGACGTCGTGTAAGCAGAGGTGGCCATGATTTGGGAATGGGAATGGGCAAAAATGGGACTGAAGAAAAGGGAAGAAGAAGAATAAGAGGAGCGAGAAGGAAGAGAGAGAAATCTGAGGAGACTGATTCGAAGCATCTGTCCTGTAATGTTGTTGGTGGACACAGCGATGAAATCGATCAGCTGAGTCTGTATTATTTTTATTATTTTTCATTTTTTAAGGTGGTGGTGCTGTTGTTGTCCATTATTATTGTTGTTGTGCTTTTCGAGTTGTGTTGTGTAGTGTGAGATCAGCAACAACAAGGATTGCGATTGGTTTGCGCGCGCCAAATCCGATGAGGGAATGCACCAGTAGTCCTTCATCCACCGCCATGCCTGACTCAGTGAGTTAGAGCTTCCGAGTTGGGGTTTGCTTGCTCTGTGTTTTTACTTGTATTTCACGAGTGAGAGAGTGAGTCACTGAGAGAAAGAGGGTGGTTGGGTTTTATGGTAACCAGAAGGTGGTTGGAATTGGGATTAATGGTGGTTATGTGGAGGTTACTGTTTCAATTTAAAAGGTTGGGACCATGAATATTCATGAGTTTATTGTTTGCTGGGGATAGGGATGTGCAGAGGGTTTCTTTTGTTCTACACCAATGGGGCTGCAAATTTTAAGTTCGCTCAGAGAGAGAAAGGGAGGGTTGTGGAGGAGAAGGAGGGGTTGTGGATGAATTTCCAAACTTACCCTCATTTTTGACAGAAAATTTAACAGAGTTTGACGGAAGGACTACTGGTGCAACATAACACCTAGTTGAGTGACCCCCGCAACTAATAATTGAATTGATGGACCAAAGTGTAACTACGGGTATAGTTGAGGGACCATTGCTGCGAATAACACTAAATTCGAATATTTAAATAGTATAGCCGATCGGCTATACTCTTTGAGTATAATAAATTTGATTATTCAAATGGTATAGCCGCTCGGCTATACTTGTTAAATATAGCAAATTCCACTATTTAAATAGTATAGCCGCACGGCTATAATCCTTAAATATAATAAATTTGAATATTTAAAGTGTATAGCCGCTCGTCTATACTTCTTAAATGTTGCGAGCTTACAGCTTTCTACGGCACCTACCACAAGCAGCCCAAGACCTGTCGGGCCCCCGACGACGACACGGGACGCACCGTGGGGGTGCTCGGTGTGCTGTCAAGACAACAATGGTTGAGAGAAGAAGATTTGGCCGGGGAGTTGAAACTGCCCCTAAGGAAACTTTGTTCCACTCTGCAGTTTCTTGAGAGGAAAAACTGGTCGCCAGAGATCAAAGGGGAGGGACAGCTTACTCCTGTCTGGACTATGCCCAGATGCACGACGTCGTTAGGTACAGGCTGCACAGTATGAGGAAAAACTGAAAGATGAGTTGGGCAAGGCCGACAACAATGTTGAGGAATATGTGTGTACCCTCACTGTAGGAAAAGATATAGCAGTTTGGATGCGCTGTAACTGACGTCTATGGAGGACGATGGGTCCTGCTTCCACCGTGAAAGTTGTAAAGGGGAACTTGTGGTTGCAAGTGACAGCCATGCAAGGCGGCCACGGGGTCAAGAATTAAAAGACAGGCTTCAGAGGATGGAGGTACAGATGAAGCCACAGAGTCAAAGACTTAGGTTTTCCTGAATTGGGAAGCCTCCAAGATTGGGATGCGAGTGGAAGGCCAATGTATATAAAGAGTGTTGAAGTTGAAGTTGAATTTTGTTGGGTTGAAGGACAGGTGGAAGAGCCTGACTGTGCTCGCTTCGCCAAACTGCCTGACCTGAGGCGATCCAATGTACTTATGCGGGACATGGGCTATTTTCGACCAATACTCACCACTACCGCGTCTACATCTTTCCTCAAGCTCAAGACATTCTTGAATAGAGAGGTGCTGGAGTTTAATGAGAAGCTTGAAACCTGGTGGCAACAGTTTTAAATTAGGACAATCATGTATGGTCACAAATCTAAGAGAATCAAGATCCTCAAACCATTCTGGCAAAGCTGTTAGATTGGGGCAACTACTCATTTCCAAGCAGTGCAGGGTCTTTACATTTTCCAATCCTTCTGGCAGAGAATCAAAACAAGGACAGTCTAGAACGATCAAACTTCGAAGGGAGGAGAGGTGTTGCACACCAGCTGGAAAGGAACCAAGCTTTGGACAGTACATGATGGTCAAGTGCTCAAGCAATGTGAGCTGTTCCAAACTCGACGACAGAGAAGTTAGTTCACTGCAGTTTTCAATGGACAAAGTTCGAAGCGAAACCAAACCTGCAATTCCACAATTTGGCAGGGATGTTAGACTGTGACAGTCACTAATCTCCAGTGACTCCAGACCTTTAAGGTTATGCAAACTTTGTGGCAGAGAGGACAGCTCTTCACACCAATGAATGGTCAATGATTTCAAAGAACTAAGGTTTTGCATATGCAAAGGCATTGAATGAAGCTTGGGGCAAGACAAAATCTTCAAGGAAGACAGACTAGCTGATGCAAAGAGCCCTTCCGGGAGAGACACTAGGTCTCGAATATTTTCAAGAATAAGAACAGATAGAAAACTCAAATCTGCCATGGGCATCATCGTAGGATTACAATCCCGCAGCTCCAAATGTTGAAGGGACTGAGGTAACGGTATATGTGCTAACTTGGGGCAACTCTTTATAGTTAATTTCTTCAATCTATAGAATGCATTTTCATCATTTGCACTTGACCACTCTTCCAAGTTTGCAAAATCACTTATTGATAGTTCTTCGAGTGATGGAAACCATATGTCTGCACCGTCACCATAGAACTCTCTACCAATTTTCTTCACCCCATCCATTCCATGCAGAGAAAGTGTCTTAAGTAGCGGAAGATTCCCAAGGGCTGGAAGATATTCACTTCTTCTACAGTTGGTGAAATCAGCGGCGACAAGATTTGGGAGAGCCCAGTCAGGAAATTGGGTTCCTGGGTACCCATTTATAACTAGATTTTTCAGATTTTCATGTGGTTGCAGGTATTCAATAAGTTTTTCAGCTTGCAGCGCTATATATGATCCTGAGACACTTACTTCAGCTGGGGCATTAGGTGGTTTGGCAAACGAATCTTTAAATCCCGGAATAAAACCCCAATATAATCCCAATGACTCAAGAATTTCCTTCATGACCAATATTCCTTTGGGTGGTATAGCATCTTCAATAATCTCCAAGCGAGAAATATTCAACTCCCCATAAAGATTTAAATCGAACAGCTCATGGAGATTTGTGACGTAGTTCCGTAGTTGATCCCTCTGCGACGCGACAAAAGGCAGTATATGGGTAATCGCGGTAGTAGGTACATTTTCTGCCTGCATCTTCTCTGTAAGGGGGTGTGAGAATGTCAAGAACAGCACAAGGAGTGACTGCAGTAAAATAATGCAGATTCCCCCCATTCCTTGGATACAAAATTGATGTCCCACATGGTGCTGTTAAAACCTTGTCAACCGCCAGCTTTGCCAATCTTACTGTATTGGATGGAAACTTCATCAGTTTTCCCATATTTTAACCCTCAAAATATGAAAATCATGAGCATAGAACATGGACCAATTCATAAGCGCATGAGTCTTACGACCTCTCTGGTAGTATCTCACTCATGAATCTAGCCTTTTAAAATCACTAAAATGGCCATTTTTATTGGACTAAATGATATAATCATATGAATAATTTCATTACCTACAGTATTTTCCTAGTAACTATAGAACAACAGAAAAGATAGTAGATACTTTGATCATAAAGTAAATACTAAGAAAAAAAATCTTTAACAGTGTGAGTGAAGCCCAAGAAACTACAGGAATAGCAATATGAAAATGTGAAGCTGATACTTTTGTCAAGAAGTGTAACTGTGTAAGCCATTTACAAGCTGAAAACTACATGAAAAACCAGACCTGGAAAGTAATTTGGTTCCTTGCTTTCCTGGGGAGGCTCGACCCAATCATAAGCTCTCACATGCAAAGAGCCATAGAGAACTTTGCTAAAAACAGTCATCCCAGGATGGTCATGAAGTGGAATGACTGAGAAAGTAGGAAAACCGAATATACACATCTGCATAAAATCATTTACTTAATCTGTGAGTATAAATTTCAGAGAGCTTTGAATATAACAACAATCTAAATTCCTTGTTGAGTGATAACTTATATGAATGGTGGTCCCAATGGTCATATTATGGAGTAGTACAACATATGGATCTTTTTCATCAACGAAAAGACACACAAATGAATATAATGTCAACATTTCATTAAAGGATCCATCTTTTTTTGTTCCTTGCAGTACCAAATACTGTAAATAAGAAACTCGAAGGAAAACAAAAATAGAGTTTTGATTTGGGAACATAGAAGATGGTATAGCTTACTGTAAAAGTATTCTTCTTCTTCACTAAATGCTTACCGTAAAACTATATATATATCCAAGTATGTTATTGGTTGAGCCCATTGAGCAACTCTATTTAGTTGGTCAAGTCCAAAAAATATCCATGGCCTCGATCGTCATCCAGATTTTCCTCTTTAAGCCCAACATCAGCCGGAGACATTGTGCCTGTGAATTCCAACCAAGATCAGAGAAATAAAGGCAAGATACTGTGACATGGTGTATCCTAACTATAAAATTGATGAATCATAATTGAGTAACCTGGTCTTCTAGTTATTAAGAAGGAACTGAAACTGTCATCACCTTTCTTAGTTAAGGCCTCAAGATCTGATATTTTGGGTTCAGACACATTTTAAGCAGGAATCAATTATTGTGCAGAAAAGACATGACAAATATTTATTAACCAAATTTATGCATGTGACAAACAATAGGACAAAGGCAAAGACATCATTATGACTTAACCAATGAGACATTCCTCAAATAAAAGCTGAACCAAGCTGCTTCCGCATACCAGGGGGCCATGGAAATCTATATCAGAAGTAGCATTGGACTCTAGGTATTACTATCAATAACCAACAAAGCCCTATCAGCCAAGTTTATATTCTCAAGAAAAGGAAAAACTGTCAAACTTCGCCACAAATGGCACAAAGGAAAGAAAGGTGATTCTTCATCCAGCTGGTTTTTCACCTTGACGAGCAATCCGGTAATTAAGTTAGCATTTTGGAGGTAAAGTCTTTCTTTTTAGAGCAAACATCATACTTCCAAGAGTAACAATGCATGTAATATATGAATCTAAACTCACTTTGCAGACAAACCTTAATTGCTTCAAGTTCACAGATTTCATGCTAAACTAGTCCACTGCTAAATTATTTGCCAATGAAGGATATTCCAATTTCCATTAGAACCAAGACCAAGTAGAGTTACAAAATCAATATATTCTAGCAATTTAACGAAACCCCATAAATATATCGCTCAATTCTCAATTACACCACCAAAACGGGCAAACTCAATTTGAGTTTCAACATAATTTGCAAAACCAATATGCAAAATTGAGCCAAACTTTGGTTACACACTTCACATATATATTAAACGAAACCATGTTATTATAAATTTAAAACAAAAGACGAGAGAAATACCCAGAACAGAACAAAGCTTGTTGATTGCTGCAGAAGAAGGGGGAGGAGACCCCGATGGCGTGAACATGTTTTTGGCAGAGTTCGTAGAGAGCTTCAACTTTGGAGCTCTTCCTCGCCGTGCTCGTGTGGCTTCGAAACGCACTAAAAATCGGCCAGTGTTCGAAAAATGGGCCTACGCGCCCGCCTAGGCGTCCAAACGCACTAAAAATCGGCCTAAAAGTTAGTTTCTTTAGTTTAATATTTGTAATTAAGAAATATCTTAGTATTATTTAATCACTTTAATTAGTAATTATATTTTTAAGTATTATTTATTTAGTGAAGAATTAGTAGTTTAATTAATTTCATAAATGAGTTGATAAACAGTAATTAATAATTTTAAATTAATTTGTGGACTTTAAAAAAAAAATTATACAAAATTAGTTTGTTTAGTTTAATATTTGTAATTAATTGTATCTTAGCTTTATTTAATTACATTAATTAGTGATTATATTTTAATTATTATTTTATTTACTAATAATAAATATATTATCATTTTAAATATAGTAAATTCGAATATTTAAATAGGTTAGCCGAGCGGCTATACTTTTCAAATATAATAAATTAGGCTATACTCCTTAAATAAAATAAATTTGAATATTTAACTGGTATAGCCGGGCGGCTATAGTTTTCAAATATAATAAATTTGAATATTTAAAGCGTATCGCCGCGCGGCTATATTGTTCAAATATAATAAATTCGAATCTTTAAATAGTATAGCCATGCGGCGTTAAGCTTCAAATATAATAAGTTCGAATATTTAAATAGTATAGCCGAGCGGCTATACTTTCTAAGTATAATAAATTTGATTATTCAAATAGTATAGCCGCACGGCTATAAGCCTTAAATATAATAAATTCGAATATTTAAAGTGTATAGCCGAGCGGCTATACTTCTTAAATGTTGCGAGCTTGCAGCGTTCTACAACACCCACCACAAGCAGCCCAAGACCGGTCGGGCCCCCGACGACGACACGGGACGCACCGTGGGGGTGCTCGGTGTGCTGTCAAGACAACAATGGGTGAGAGAAGAAGATTTGGCCGAGGAGTTGAAACTGCCCTCAAGGAAACTTCGTTCCACTCTGCAGTTTCTTGAGAGGAAAAACTGGTCGCCAGAGATCAAAGGGGAGGGACAGCTTACTCCTGTCTGGACTATGCCCAGATGTACGACGTCGTTAGGTACAGGCTGCACAGTATGAGGAAAAACTGAAAGATGACTTGGGCAAGGCCGACAAAAATGTTGAGGAATATGTGTGTCCTGACCCTCACTGTAGGGAAAGATATAGCAGTTTGGATGCGCTGTACCTGACGTCTATGGAGGACGATGGGTCCTGCTTCCACTGTGAAAGTTGTAACGGGGAACTTGTGGTTGCAAGTGACAGCCATGCAAGGCGGCCACGGGTTCAAGAATTAAAAGACAGGCTTCAGAGGATGGAGGTACAGATGAAGCCAGTAACGGAACGACTTGACAGAGCCAAAGACTTGGCTTTTCCTGAATTGGGAAGCCTCCAAGATTGGGAAGCGAGTGGAAGGCCAATGTATATAAAGAGTGTTGAAGTTGAAGTTGAATTTTGTTGGGTTGAAGGACAGGTGGAAGAGCCTGACTGTGCTCGCTTCGCCAAACTGCCTGACCTGAGGCGATCCAATGTACTTATGCGGGACATGGGCTATTTTCGACCAATACTCACCACTACCGCGTCTACATCTTTCCTCAAGCTCAAGACATTCTTGAATAGAGAGGTGCTGGAGTTTAATGAGAAGCTTGAAACCTGGTGGCAACAGTTTTAAATTAGGACAATCATGTATGGTCACAAATCTAAGAGAATCAAGATCCTCAAACCATTCTGGCAAAGCTGTTAGATTGGGGCAACTACTCATTTCCAAGCAGTGCAGGGTCTTTACATTTTCCAATCCTTCTGGCAGAGAATCAAAACAAGGACAGTCTAGAACGATCAAACTTCGAAGGGAGGAGAGGTGTTGCACACCAGCTGGAAAGGAACCAAGCTTTGGACAGTACATGATGGTCAAGTGCTCAAGCAATGTGAGCTGTTCCAAACTCGACGACAGAGAAGTTAGTTCACTGCAGTTTTCAATGGACCCAGTTCGAGCTCCCACAGCCCTACAGCAGGTAGCTGCCTGCAATCAAAATCGCACAAGCAAAACAAAAAAAAAAGTCATGAACAAATCTATGTTGCAAAATCCTACCACATCATAACAATTGGCCATTTAGCAGAAACATGTCTACTTACCACTTGAGCAGCAAATGGCAGCATTTTCTCTGGAGGCATGTTGGAGCAAATAGCTACAATAAAATACGACGTCGTTAGGTACAGGCTGCACAGTATGAGGAAAAACTGAAAGATGACTTGGGCAAGGCCGACAAAAATGTTGAGGAATATGTGTGTCCTGACCCTCACTGTAGGGAAAGATATAGCAGTTTGGATGCGCTGTACCTGACGTCTATGGAGGACGATGGGTCCTGCTTCCACTGTGAAAGTTGTAACGGGGAACTTGTGGTTGCAAGTGACAGCCATGCAAGGCGGCCACGGGTTCAAGAATTAAAAGACAGGCTTCAGAGGATGGAGGTACAGATGAAGCCAGTAACGGAACGACTTGACAGAGCCAAAGACTTGGCTTTTCCTGAATTGGGAAGCCTCCAAGATTGGGAAGCGAGTGGAAGGCCAATGTATATAAAGAGTGTTGAAGTTGAAGTTGAATTTTGTTGGGTTGAAGTACAGGTGGAAGAGGCTCCTAGTCGTCAGATCCGCGTCAAGTCAAAGCGTGATGAGGATCCAGCAGAAGACAATGTAGACTGGGAGGAAGGTTGGGGACCAAATGACTTGGAATGTTGAAGCTTGTTGATCCTGAATCAGGCGAAATTGGAATTTCCTATCTACTTGCCATAAACAGTTGGTACAGAATCACTCAAATGAGGAGACACTTATACTCATCAAATTGTCTGTCCGTTACAAGGAAATCTTCTACGCCAAGAGACAGTAGTTTACAAAATTAATAACTCATGAGAGGAAATAGCTTAATTTCTAGGCTAAATTTCACCTTTCCAGTTAACTATGCCAATCATGTAGGACCTCCTGGGAATTTTTAAGATAAAAATGATGCCAGGCGTGCATCTGTGCAGTGTGGAAGCCCAGTTCGAGCTCCCACAGCCCTACAGCAGGTAGCTGCCTGCAATCAAAATCGCACAAGCAAAACAAAAAAAAAAGTCATGAACAAATCTATGTTGCAAAATCCTACCACAAATTGGCCATTTAGAAGAAACATGTCTACTTACCACTTGAGCAGCAAATGGCAGCATTTTCTCTGGAGGCATGTTGGAGCAAATAGCTACAATAAAATCAGAAATCCCATGAATGAAATAAAAGAACAAAAAGTAGGAATTTGCTTCAACATCTAAATTCAACTTTATAAAATCAAACAAGCATGAGACATTTTGTGACCTAAGGCCTATCCTCTGCAAACAGTCAATCCAAATGTTGATTGAACTCGAGTGCTCACATGATATACACTAAGATGATGATTAAATTTATCTAGTTAGTCAGCCATGCTTGTAGACTAGCCCAACCACAACCCCACTCTCCCACAAAGTAACATTAAACTGAACTGATCTGAGCCCTCATGTTTGGATAATGGTCAGTAGAGATTTTATGAATGAACAATGTTGCAACCTCTCAAAAGTCAAAACTAAACAAATATATACTACATTAAGAAGACACCTTTTTCTGCTTAATGATTGAAAAGGTGCCTTTCCAGGCAATAAACAACAAAAAACAAAAATTGACAAAATGATCTGTGTGTGCATGGGGTGGGGGAGAGAGAGAGAGAGCGAGAGAGAGAGAGAGAGATGAGTTGAGGGATTAAACATACCATAGAGAACTGCTCCAATAAAACTATCTCCAGCACCTGTAGTATCTTGAAGTTCTGAGGGTGGTACTTTCTCAGCTGTTCCCACAAACAACCTCCCACAAACCGTCCCTACTCCATTGGCTCTCAATTTTGTCACAGGCTGAAAGGATTACAATGGGAAAACTTACAAATTAGTAGCTACTACAATTATTCAGTATTTTTTTCAGTGTCCAGTTCAGACTCTAAAAACAAATACAAAAAAAAACTGATGTTCCACAATTCACTCAAGTTTGCGATCGAAAGAAAAGGGCACCCTAGCCAATGTTGCATGAAATGTGACATGTTTCTTGTGTCAAGCTAAATTTCTCCTCTACCATCTTCCTACAATTAAATGGATTTCATCTCTACTACAACATAGGTATTATGCTTCACTTTGGTTATTTCAGGGCACCTCATATTCCCAGCTTAAGATGTGCCCGGACTTCGTCATCTTGTTAGGACCAACTTTTATTTGGTAACAGTTTCTTTTCAAATTGATAACTAATGTAAAAATTATATAATCAAACGATGGAAAGATTTTCTAGTTATTGCTTATGCTCCTGAGGCTACGCAAATATTCAGGACGTGTGGATGACATCCCAAGTTGTAAACCCAAGATGCAATCCTCAAAACTGTGTAGAAGGATTGAGGGTTGCCGTGAATTTCATCAAGAATCATGGGAGAGAAAGCGGTGAAAAGGACTATCTAAATACTTCAAAAATCAAGGGAAAATAGTTCACTTCTAACTTGTCTCTGACTAAATTCTTTCAAATCCTCTTAACCATTGAGGTGCCTTACCGATGAAACACATGTTGGGATAGCAATGTTATCATCTTCTCTCTGCTTCACCAATTCTAGCAAGATATCAACATCCATTTCTTCTGACTGAGGAGCCTCTGCCAGAAACAGAGTTTCAATGAAAACCTGTAAATTTTTCAAATCAGATAAAACAGACTATGTTTACAACATTGCAAGCCACAACTTCAGGCCCTATGTTTCATATCGTTTTCCTCCTCAATAAGCCCTGGACAGTTGCATACTTACCATCCACACTTCTCTCAAGCATTAGGCATCCATCTTCACCCAATGTCACAATCACAAATTTGATCTTTGGCAATCTCACAAGAATCGAAACAAGAGCACTTGGAATGGATGCTGCTTCTGTCCATGCCTGTAACACAAGATATGCGTTGTGTCGCACATAAATGACCTTGGGCCTTAAACTTAGACCAAGAGATCCAAGCGAAAAATGAAGGGCAAAAAGTGTGTCTAAATGTGATCTAAGTTAATTGTAAAATCATAGCAGTCACATTAGCATGCATATTGAGTTCAAAATATATCCAGCAGATGGTTAGACTAACTAAGTAATAGAAATACATGGTATAAGAAGAGCAGTGCTTGAGGAAACCTCTTATTTGCATATCCAAAACAATGGTTCCTTTACCGGCTATTTTCGGCTGAAAATTGTTTGGAAACAGATAGGAAGCAAATCAAAGTCTTATCTCCAGTTTTAGGGGTTTAGAAACCAAAAGGAAGAAGCTGAGAAAATATTTAAGTTGGGAAAACATGTCCTAATTTCCTTCTAGATATAGTGGTTCATAGAAGAACAAATGACTTGCCTGTGGAAATTTTGCAGAGCATATAGCATAATCAGCTAGTTTTAGAAGATCATCCAGCCCTTCTCTTATCCGTTCACCTTCAACTAATATAGGTACATTCTTGCGAGCAGCCTGTGAGAATCCAATTATGCTGATTTACTCTCTTTAGTTAATAACTAATTTTCTTGGAAAACTACGTAAAGATACACTTAACAGCAAGAAGTTTAACACGAGAAACTGGAAGATAGCAGTTACCTCCTGTGCAACAAGTAAAGCAGTTTCATGTATTCGTCCATCTAAATAAAGCATTCTTGCTCCATCCAATGCAGATGATAAACTTGTTTGGGAAAGGTCGCTTGGTATCATGGGAGGATATCCTGGAGTATGAATACAAGTGCGAGTTTTCCTGGAATGTCACTAACAGTTTATCAAAATTGAAACACAAAGATTGGGGAAAAAGTTATTCCACCGCCCTCTATCACTAGCTAAGGCCATATGCATTAGATCAGATTCAGAATGTAGGAATAAGAAAATATTATGGGTTAAACAATAAAGTCAGCTAATACAAGGTCGTGTATGCTTGTGCGCGCTTGTGGGTGGGGGAGAGAGAGAGAGAGAGAGAGAGAGAGAGAGAGAACAGTATATTGCTTGGTATCATGGGAGGATATCCTGGAGTATGAATACAAGTGCGAGTTTTCCTGGAATGTCACTAACAGTTTATAAAAATTGAAACACAAAGATTGGGGAAAAAGTTATTCCACCGCCCTCTATCACTAGCTAAGGCCATATGCATTAGATCAGATTCAGAATGTAGGAATAAGAAAATATTATGGGTTAAACAATAAAGTCAGCTAATACAAGGTCGTGTATGCTTGTGCGCGCTTGTGGGTGGGGGAGAGAGAGAGAGAGAGAGAGAGAGAGAGAGAGAACAGTATTATTATTAGTAGGTATATATAGTAGATAGATAGAGTATTAGAGTGGGGTTAAAACTTTACTTTGTAGGAGGAGAAAGAGAATTAAAGAGAAAAAAAAGGAAAGGAATGGGGGCTGGGTTCTGATATTCAGCACAGCAATATGCTGCTGCTGCTTCTGCTGCTGCTTGAAAGTTGATGCTTCTGCTGCTGTATATATGCTGCTGTAGGTGTGGTGCCGGCAAGTTTATAAATGCAGCCCCACTGGGTTTTACATTTCTAAAAGGAATTATTTGGGTAATCTCGCCTTCCATTCACTTGAGAGCCTCTTTGGTTTGATTCGGTTGTGTCCCCCTTGCCTTACATAGGGTCCCACTTTTGCCTCATACATGGTGTCTCCCATTAAGCAATTATATATGTGTTGTTTTATTCAATAGCATCCTCTAGGTCTCCTCCTAGCCCTACTGATCGACTCTTGGGCATGATCTTTCATCAATATTTCAGTACCCATTTTCATCATCATCATCATCATCATCATGTGTGGAATATATATATATATATATGGATGCATAATTTAGTGGTGATATTCTTTTTTAAATAAAATAAATAAACACCATCTAGTTTACAATCCATATGTTATTAGTTAATTAGCTAGAGAAATACTCAAGACTTCTTCTAATTAATATGGATGAGATTTTGGATATATATAAGCACTCTCAAATGCGAACAATTCACAGAAACTATTCATATTTGTGTTTGTGGTGGAAAAACTTAGTGTCCTCATAAGATTAGGAAAGGAAAGGTATAGAGATCAACGAGGTAATTCAGTGGTGATTTGAGGAATTTTTCTATTTGAGGGTGTGATGAAGAAGATAACGACTTGCCCGTAGGATGAGTTATAGATGTGCCTATTTCATGTATTTTAGGAGGATACCTGGTTGAGCGAGGTGGGGAGGAAGATGGAGAGAAGGTGGTGGGTGAGCTGACGAGAGTGGCATTGGGAGTTGGGTAAAGAGAAAGCATCTTTTCTGTTGTTACAGTTGAAGCAAAGAGAAGATTCGGTGGATTGTGCCTTTGGCTTTATCATAGACATCTGGTCTAGATTGGTAAAGAGTCAAATTTAGTCTTTACCTGTGCCACTGCTACGACGGAAATTTTTTTACGAAATTTAAAAGTCATTGTCTTTTAATTGCAATTTGCAATAACCACTAATAATTTTAAACATCTAGTAGCACTCAGTCTTTACTTTGTTAAAGGAGGTTACCGATAATAAGCTTAAGTAGGTAGGTCGCCAACAATGAGCACTCAGTCTTTACTTTGTTGAAGGAGGTTACCGATAATAAGTTTAAGGAGATCGCCAACAATGAGTTTAGGGATTTAGTACGTGACACTCAAATCTCTACTTTGTTGGAGAAAATCTTGTGTTTAAATCTCAAGTACGACCATTATTGATAAAAAGAATTGTAAACTAGTAGAACTTGGACAGAATTGTGTTCGAATTATATAGATTGACAATTAAAGACTAGTTCATCAAGCACGACGATTGTTGATAAAAAGAATTGTTAGTTCTATTTGAATTTGGAATTACATTCAGAAAATAAGACATTATAGAAACCAAGCAAATGAAGAAAACAAAAGGCATATGCTAGGTAGCTTTTAACATCCATAAACTGTCCGTACAAATTAACAGAAGCTGACAATCATCAGTGGAAAGCGTATGAATCAGATAAGTTATATCTGGCTACAAGAAGAAGATGACTCTCAGCCCAACAAATGTAACGGGTAACAATGTCAATCAATAAGGCATTGAACTTACGGGGACGTTATAATACACAGGGAGACTATTCAACTTACATATCTCCATCCAACTCGTATGTAAATGAATCAAGAATTCCAAAATTAGAAGCCATTGTCCTCTCTCTCTCTTCCTCTCATCCTCTGACATGGACTCTGGAGGATTTTCGAACACCTAAACTACAAGTGATGGCTTTACTTAAAAGCCTCAGTCCTTTTTGAACTGTACAAAATTCAAAAATAAAATTAACAAACTTCAAACCCAGAAGCCATCATCATTCTGAGCACTCCTCGAAAGGAGTCCCCCATGCTCACTCCTACTTCCTCTTACTCTGTAGAATGCTGGCTTGCTCCGGACTGTTCTCAATGGCCCTGACCTATTGCCATGTCTAATTGGTAAAGATATCTCATCCCCCACCAAACTTGAAGTTGAAAACGGTCTGTTTTCCATATCTTCAAGAGGCCCAGAACTATACTCCATTGTAATGAACGAAGAGGTCTGCCCGTAATTTAACCGGGGAGTGAGTCCACCGGCGTTCCACCAACTGCTATCAGAAGGGGCAAGATCACCTTTGAATTCAGAATCCGGAACGGAAGACTCCTTTTGGCTATAGCAATCCCCACCGGTCTCATCTGTATCATTGTATATGAGCTTTAGAGCCTGCACCACTTCACCCATAAAAGGCCTGTGAGTCACCTCAGGGTGAACGCACATGGAAGCAATGGCTGCCACTTTAGCCATGTCATCAAAGTCATAGGTTCCAGCCAAGGCAGGATCCACCAACTGCTGCAAACCTTCTCTGCTGGTTAGCAGTGGTCGTGCCCAAGTTACTAAATTCTCCTGGCCAGGAGGGTGGGCCATGTCAACAGGCTTCCTTCCAGAGAGAAGTTCCAGCAGCACGACTCCATAACTATAAACATCACTCTTGACAAGTAGGTGCCCTGTCATTGCATATTCTGGGGCAACATACCTGTAATCCAGCAATTTGATCAAGAGAATAGTTGAAATGTTGCTCAGACAGAAAACTATTGAAGCAAACGTTATTTCAAATTTTCAATTTTCATCATATACTATAAACTTTATATATATCTGGACAGAGGAGAATTTCTATTCTTATGGCCGAAAAATCTAATTAAATCCATTCACTAATCATCCTTATCATTCATTAAAGGTTCCCAATTTCTAGTGTACTATGGCGCCATATAGCAAATTAGGTTTATGCTCTATAAGCCTAAAAAGAAATATTGGATCCAAATCAGTTTAAAAGATTTGTAAATCCTGATTAGTAACAGCTTAAACAACTATGCTTACCCGAAAGTTCCCATGACCCTTGTTGAGATATGATGACTTCCCTCAGTTGCTTCCCTAGCCAACCCAAAATCTGATACCTTGGGCGTGAAGTCAGCTTCCAGCAAAACGTTACTAGCCTTAAAATCTCGGTGAATAACACGAGGATTAGAATCTTCGTGGAGATAGGCTAATCCTCTTGCTGCCCCAAGGGCAATCTTCATCCGTGCATCCCAGTCAAGAGGTCCCTTTTTCTTGTCAACTCCTGAAAAACAACCATAACATATAAATATCGGGCTTTAAGGCTGTTTCTATCCCCCCCAAAAAAAAACAAAAACAAAAAACAAAAAGTCCTTCAAGAGAAGGTAAATTAAATTGCTAGTTGGGGCAAGTGGGAGAGCTATTTCTAATTCAGGAAAATAACTTCAAGTTGAAAGAGACCAAAGTTGACATACCATGCAAGTGGGACTCAACACTCCCATTGTGAACAAGCTCATATACCAAGCTGCGGGTGCGCCCTTCAATACATATGCCTATCAATTTCACCAGATTGCGGTGATGTAATCGGCTTAGCATCTCAACTTCTGCAATGAATTCACGGTCTCCATTCTGATTCTGATTATCCCTTGTAAGCACTTTGACTGCTACTTCAGTCCCATCTTCCATAATTCCATGGTAAACACGTCCAAATCCCCCTTCTCCCAACACCCTTTGGGAACTGAACTTATTTGTTGCTTTCTCAAGCTCAGCAAGTGGAAATGTTTTGACAGAGAGAATACTTGTAGCCATGGTGGACATTAGGGACACTGAAGTGGAGCTTGCAATACTACTTGATAAGATAGACCCAATACCTGAATTACACGAATAGATCAATCACTCAGTCTCCAGTATGTTTAATATGGAACTGTGAACAATTAACTAAATTGTCCAGATTGAAATTCAATGTTCATAAAAGAGTATCAAATTGAGAAAGCAACAAAAACAAAGACAATGAATGCAGTAGAAGTCTTTTCTGTATGATAAACTCTACATATCAGAACATGAGTTACCAGATCCCACCACCTGAGGACCATGATCTGGCTTGCACATACCCCAATTCATGGTACTTTGGCGGTCCAGTTCTCCAAAACCGACGTTCCAAACATACAATAGTTTTTTCTTTGGCATGAAAGGGGTCCTGAACCCCAGCCCTCAAACATAAAGGTGTTCCCAACATAACATGATATATGGGAAGAAAAAAGAGATAAATGTCAAGATTTGACGTAACTGAACTTGCAGGGAATCTTTGTGCAAGTACAGCTATTTTATCCTTAAAATTGAAATTTGTTGATTTCATGCATGTATGTGAGGGTTTATACATTTATGCATGCACGAATGGATATACTCACAATTGTGCACAAGAAAAACAAGAGAACACTAAAAAGCCACATACTTACCAGATCTTTTGTGAACAGAAGATGTGAATGCAGGACCAACAGCACTAGATGGTCTTCCAACTCTCTTCCATTTCACAAAGATCCAGATTGCCCCAATGAGAACCAACAGGAGTACAAATGCAGACAGAGCAATAATTACAATTGTTCTAATATTCATCCTCTGGTTCTTGCCGGGAAAATCTGCGGTGATAGGGAGATCTCCAGCACTTCCAGCTGGACCATTCCCCTTGAAATACTCATATGGTGGTGAAGAAGCGATTCCTGTTAATGACTCTTTCAGTCTCAACCACAAACAACAATGAAAGGAAGCGAAAACAGAAGTAGGAGAATTGAGGACAGTACCTGGATAACTAATGTATACCACTTCATAATTTCCAAAAAGAGTCATATTTAGAGGGACTTTCTTATGCCGAAATCTATCGTACGTCAGTATTGCAGTGGTATTATCAAACTTCTCTCCTAGTGGAACCAAGTTAATATCCACTACTGTTCTTCCTTGATTTTGACTATCCGCACTTGCACCCATTATTTTCACTTGGCTTTGTGCCAGATATGTGCCTTCGGCAACCTCAATCTCTAGCTCACTCATTACAGGAAAAATAGCATACGGAGCTATATCCAGTAAAAGTCTGACTTTCATGGGAAACACACAACCACAAGGTGAACCAAATGGAGATGCAGTAAGTGGCTCCACACAGATTTGATCGCAACCTGCCAGAAGTACCATCATTAAAGAAGTAAACTGGCAAGGTACTTGCCAAGAAAAACAATAATCCGAGGTAAAATACATTTTCATGACCATAGTTAAATTAACAAAATTTTGGGAATTCCATGAACCCAAGTCCCACTTTTCTAGCAGCAGCTGTGCTAAAAAAGTTTCCAGCTGCACCTCCAACCCATAGTGGGGAAGGTAAAGCCTCAAACTCATCTTCCAAAACACGTAAACTTAACAGGCCTTTACTTTCTTTCTTATTGACTAAATGGTAAAATTAAAACATTCAACTTGCCTCAGCAGAGGAGTGATTTTATATGGGACTAGAAGATTAGTTGGTCCAATTTATTTTTAGAAAACGCAAGTGATATCCAACTACCCAAATTAATAGTTCTTGGCCACCCTATCCCAGTCATAATAGAAATTAAACAACGTTTTTGGAAATTCATCAATCTCAACTAAACATCTACAGATTGTTTGGATGTTGTAAAAGATGAGTGACACCTGTCATTGACTACATCATAACAAATCACAAACCCCATATTATTTACCTGGGTCTTTTGATGGTGCTGGAGGAACAACATGGGGTTTCGCTCTCACATGATGATGACGATGATGACCGCGTCTTGGTGAGGGAGAACTTCTAGGACCTGAAATTGAGAACTTAACATCACTGCAATACCAGCGACTGGAACATCCATGTATTCATATTTTGAAGTGAATACATACCTAGATAAATTGGAGAAGGTGCAGGTGCAAGGGATCCCGAAGAAGGCTTGATTGCCCATGTTTTGGGTAGTTTTGATGAAGCAAAGGGCAAACTCATCAGAATTGACCTTGCTGCAAATGGTAGGACAAGCCCAATATGTCACAAATTGGTTAAGAGATATATGCATAGCTATCAAAGGAGGTAACTTTAACATGAGGGGAACTAAAACATCGGTGAAGTGTACAACAACAATATATCCGCTCAAGAAGTTTGTTTACATATCCATGACAATATATTTCAATAGATTTTATTATCGAACAAAAATTGTGCAGATGAAGGTTGAGCCTGGCAAATGAATTATACAAAAATATTAGCACACTTACCGCGTTCCATTGAGAAATCTTTCATAGATAATGGTTGGTTTGGCAATTGAGAAGGAGACAAGTAAATATTTAAAGACAAATTCCCTGAAATAATAAACAGGGACGTTAGTTTTCTTGAGAAACCGTTACTTATCGAGCATAAACCGAAGAATTAAGCTATTAAAATCATATAAACTAAATTCTCCAAGCACTATTTGACTAGCACTGTATAATTTAAAAAGCTCAATACAAACCTGAACAACAGAAAATCGAGCTGAGCAGGAGAGTAAAAAGAAGAAGCAGAATTGGAGTTCGCATTGTCCCTCGCCGAACCGAAATTCACATAAAACATCGTCAGAAGCAGCCACCTTGGAGCTCAGGAGTCTTGCCGGATAGTGGCCTGAGGTTTCTAGGTTTCCGGCGAGCTTCTCCATCGCATTGCTTGCTCGGAGCGAGGAATCGCATGGTTAAGCTAAGAACGAAAGCGAAAAGAGTAAAGAGCGAAGCATGCGGCGACTAAAACCCTAGAACAGAGAAGACAAGGCGAGTATTGGGAGTGAGTGGGGGCATAGATCCATGAAACGCGGCGAAAGATCTAGAAGAAGAGAGAGATGTAGGTAGGGAGGTGTAGGTGGGTGTGTGTGTAGAGAGAGAATGTGGGTGTTTTAGAGAGAGGAGGAGAGAGGGAGGGAGGAAGAGGATAGAGAGAGAGAGAGATCTTGACGAGGAAGAAGAAGAAGAAGAGGAAGTTTGAGGGAGACAGTAGGAGTGAGGTGAGGGACTTTATTGCTGCTGTCTGTGAGTTAGTGAGTGAGAGAGTAGTGTTGAGTGCGTAGCTCCAGCGAGACTGGTTTCGGTAAAATTGAATGATGGCTGTCTGATCCACGCGCCAAATTGATCGACGACTGTATTTCGAACGGGCCCACTTTAACCAAACGCCAATTCCGCGGCCGTTTCGTTGCCTAGCTTCTGTTTTTTAAGTGTTATTGTTAGCCATAAATTATTGGGGATCTTTGGGAAATTCATACTATAAAGTCATTTGTTAAATCTTTAATCTTTTTTTTTTCTAATTTTATTTCAATTTGATGATAAATGTCGGTCAAATGTTTTATAATATTCAACTAACTCTTGGTCTAAAATAGAATTGGTAGTTAAACATCCTATTTATATGGAAATACCTTTAAAATAACGGATACGGTTTTCACACTCCCATGTTATTTACTTGCACACCGCCTCCATTTTTTCAATATTTTTTTTCATATATTTTCATTTTGAGTTCTCAAACTTCCTTGTAGTTTTTGAATAACTTAAACCCTTTAACTTAGGGCTTGAGTATGGTAGTTACTTACAAATGGTTACTAAAGGAATATTTAACTTTGGTTTTTCGGATCAATATAACAAATAACAAGTTTACTACAATTTATAAGAGGTAGGTGAAACAAGGGAGAAACGCTAAGGATTAAATGTGATAATGAAAATACCTAATTAGACGTACACTAGTGATTAACTTACTTTTTTCGAAAAGTTCATTTCTCTCTCCATAAACTTGGAGTTCCTTCACCATATGATTTCCTTTTTGGATCCAAGGGTTTCCCCCAGATTCCCATCGAAAAAATAATGAATCCTTGATTCTCAGGCTTACATGCCCCTGATATATTAAGTTTACGCTTAACATAAAAATAGAGTTGGGTTATTTTTTTTAGCTCACTTTTGTTCTTCAAGCAGGGAGCTTTGGGTTTTCAAAATTGTAGTTCATGAAAAATAATGTATCATCTGTACTTTTGAGCTCATAAACATTTTGATTACTACAATTTTAATGAATTTTCCAAACATTGTTTCAATTCAATGTAGCTAGGCTTAATTATGTACATGCCCCCAACTTTTGAAAAACGATCTCAAGTTACCCATTCCGTCAGTATTATAGACGTTCTGTTACGTGCTTTGGGCCCCACTTCGTTTTAATCTTTAATATATGCGAATAAGGGTTTTTCAGTTCTAAGAAATGGGAAAATTAGGTGAGAAGGGGAAATTGGAGAAGAGGGCTTAGGGTTTGTGAAAATGATTGTTCTCTTTGGTAATTCATATGTCTACTCTTCAGGCTTCAAGTTGACCTCCTACGGTGTCCCCATTTGGTGTCGAGCTCTCTTTTGGATGGTTGACTCATGGACCCGATCCTCAACCTCCCTTGTTGAAAGCATATGCTTCAAACCAGCAATAAGCTCCAAGAAATACTTGTAAGCAGCCTGGCTCCTGTAAGTATGAAGGCAGAGGAAATCCTTCCACGACAGGAGCCTTTGGAACTTGGACAAGTTGGGTTCCACCTTAATCATCTGCTAACATAACACTCCAAGAAGGGGGATTGGAAATGCCCAAAACCTCGAAGTTAACCTCAGAACTAATACCAGGTGGAACAGATGTTTGAGGCAAAGAAGTGGCACCAGTTGCAGACATTAATCCCAAGTCTGGTTCACCAACAACTACCAAATCTTTATCAGCAGCATCAACAACACAAGGATCAACCTTTGTCCTTCTTACAGCCTTCAATGAGTAGAATGATGGAAATTCCAAATTATGAGGCTCCAAAGTTCAAACCCCACCTTAGATTTTGCAAAAGCCCTAGCCTTCTTCTCCAAATCTCCCCTTCTCACCCAAATACCCAATTTCCCCCTTTCTTAGAACTGAAAAACCCTTATTCGCAGAAGTTAAAGATTAAAACGAAGTGGGGCCCAAAACACGTAACGGAATGTCTATAATACTGACGGAATGGGTAACTTGAGACTGTTTTTCAAAGGTTTGGGGGTATTTTGAAACGTTTGCAAACATATGTGGTAATCTGAGACAAGTTGGAAAGCACAAGGGGCATGTACATAATTAAGCCATGTAGCTATGAAGATAAACGACATGCCGTTTGTTATATTCGTTGGGATAAAATAAGAAGATAAAACTGTTACTGGCTGTGAAAACGACGGCGTATGATGTGTTAGACTTGAAGGATACACAGGTCTGCTCTGTATTCTTTTCTCGTTAGCGACTATGTGAATCGCATTGACTGTTACTCACTGGTTTCGGCATTCCAATCCATCACGACTTCTCATCATCACCATTCCATTACTCATTGTTTCATTCTTCTCCAACCATCAAATTTCGTCGCCGCCAAAAATCTCTGCTCCTCAGCCACTCCTCTGTTTCAATTCTCAAATCTCTCTCTTTTTTTTTCATAGACATCGACGTCTCTCTGTTCTGCCCTTTTAAGCATAAATTATCGTTTTCTCATATTTTTCGAGCTCCAAGCTCTTCTGGGTTCGTCTAATTCTTGCCAATATTTTCCTTGGGCATAGCGGTTTACGTTGTGTTGGCCTCCATGGTTATTTGCTTCCAGCTTTAAGCTGTTCTGGGTTCGTTTCAATTGTTTCCAATATTATCTGAATATATTTCAATTATCATTTAAGGCCTACCTGCCATGTTGGGTTACTTTCTTTGTATTTTTGGCTGATGGGATAGTTTGGTAAGTTTGTAACTTCAATTGGCGTATTGGGAATTATATTGTACTGGTACGTTATTATGTGAACTTTGGTTGGTTTTTACTTCGTTTGTTGTTTGGATACTAGATTGGAGGTTTTGGGGTTTTGGATGTTTGCTTTCAGAGCTATAAAGTAAAATTGGCAATTGGTCATTTGGAATTTTTCTCTGTCATAAGTTTTTCCTGGGTTATTTGGAAAAGTAGCTCCAATCTTTGGCACTTGGCAGAATATTTGTTTCTCTTTGGGTTATCATGGCTGGTGGAAGAAATGGGGATATTTGATTATAAAAGGCTAGAAAGTTCATCAAATCCTCAAAGGATTCTTCGCCAAACTCCATTGCCAATGGAGGGTTCGCCTAGGCTCGGCCCAAAAGGTCTAATTAAGAAGCACGAGTTTGTAAGAATACTAATTCAGTGCCTATATTCAATTGGCTATGAGAAGTCTGCCTCATGCTTGGAGTTGGAGTCTGGCATTTCATGCAAATCCGATGATTTTCAATTGCTCGAATCACAGATATCGAGCGGGAATTGGGATGGTTGTGTTGATACCCTTAATGCCATTAAGGATTTGAGAGATGACACAAGAGCTGCTGCTTTGTTTCTTGTGTTCAAACAGTGCCTTTTGGAGTATTTGAGTTGTGGGGATGACAAATTGGCTTTGGCCATTTTGCAGAAAGAGGTGTCAGCTTTACAGGTGGACAGAGATAAGGTTCACAACCTTGCTTGGAGTATCCTTTCCTGGAAGGAAGTGGAGCAGAGCAAGATAGACGATAATGCTGTTCGAGAATTGCGAAAAAAACTGTTGCAAGAATTGGAAAAATGGCTTCCTTCACCAATTACGCTGCCTGAGCGCAGATTGGAACATCTGGTTGAAACTGCTGTTTTGTCCCAGATTGATTCATGTATGTATCATAATTTGTCGGATGAAGTTTCACTTTATGCAGATCATTCCTGTAGTAGGGATCAGATCCCTACAGAGACTGTTCAGGTGCGATTTCCGGCCACAATGCTTCTGTCTTGAAAAATTAAGGATTAGGTTTCTACTTTTTTGGCTCAGTTGTTCTTCTATTGGATGGCTGATGTACACATGAACACTTGTTTTTCATTGGTGCAGATTTTGACTGAGCATAAGAATGAAGTTTGGTTTGTGCAATTTTCTAATAATGGGGAGTACTTAGCCTCTTCATCAAGTGATTGCACAGCCATCATATGGAAGGTACCGTAGAGTTTATAAGTATTTATTCTGGTTATTGAATGTTTTGCTTTCATGCTAAAGTTCATTCTTGAAGATGAATTTATTAACCTATATGGTCGGATGTTTTACTTATAGGTATACTTTTAGTGTTCTAGACACTGCATGTGTAAAAATCTTAAACTCTCATAACAGATTATATGGAAACAAGACAATTTAGTTGAGAACTACTGCAGATTTAGAAAAAAAAAAAAAGGGAAGCAGAAAATCTTTTGCAATAAGTAGTAAATCCTGCTTTTAGAATTCATCAAATTTGTGAGGAAATGAAAAATAGTTTATTCTGGTTTTGTAAGAGAGATGCATGAAGGAATCTATTCCTAAGCTACATGAATATTCATCATGCCACGTGTTCGAATGCACGATCCAAAGAGCTGTCTGTTCAGTCTTTTGGTAAAGCAATAAAAGCAATTATATTGTTCCCAAAGTCAGAATTCTAATGTTAATATAACTTTTAAAATGCAAAACTGATATACCATATAGGATCCTAACGTATGAATGTTACTTTAAATAGGAATTTCATATTTGTATAAACTCAATGCTTAAAGA